GATGAAGCCAAGCCTCTCTTTTATAGATTCCCAGCTTTTGAGAGCAAGGTTCATACAAGGGTTAAAAAGTGGACTGTTTGGGTTCCTATCTTGGATCCGTACTGACTGCCTCTGTTATTTATGGCAACTTGTTTATCTTCTCTACATCTCCATTTCCATGTCTTGGAAGAAGAAAATGAAGATGATAGCAGTATTCATCATATAGAGTTATTGAAGGATGACTTCAAAATTCAAGACCAGAAAGTGGTCAGTAGCTATGGATTGTCATATTTATTTCTTTATGTATTTGAGAGAGAAACAGAGGAGAGGGAGAGAGGGAGGGAGGGAGGGAAGGAGGAAGGGGGAGAGAGAGAGATCTCTGTTGATTCATTCCTCAAATGCTTGCAACAAGCAGAGGCTTGGCCAGGATGAAAGTAGGAATTGGACACTGAATCCAGTGCAGACATTCATCTGCCAATTTTCCCTGGCTGCTTTTGTGCTACAAGAGCAGAGAGTAGAAGTTGCAACAGATAGCAGATGGTCCACGGAACCAGAAATGCAAGGGGTCTTCAGAAACTTCTTGGAAAATGCATACCATGAACAAAACTATGAGTGAGCCTCAAACATTTTAGCACCACAGTAACCTTATCAAGAGATACATCAAGCTTTAAAAGTCCATTTTCCATGAGTTTTGTGAGGTCACGTTTGTAATCTTGCCCACTTATGGAGACAGTTTTCTGTTTTAGAATGTGAGTTGCTAAGAGTAGAGGTTGGACTGTTCTGAGTCTATTCCCAGGACGTTCAATAGTCCCTGACACATAGTAAGCTTGCAAAATATTTATGGAATGAATGAATGAGTGAGCAAATGAACGCTTTGAATGCTGGGAATCTCTCCCCTTCCAAATTCTCTGCCAAGAGCAGGGTCAGGCCCAGGGACAAGGAGGAGTGAGCTGCGGAGAGGGCAAGGTTCCCAGAGAACAGAACCGAAGATCATCCTGCAAGCGCAGGGAGAATTTTCAGCTGTCTCTGACGGCTTCAGCTGCGAATCCTCGCCGGCGGGTCTATTTCTAGAAACGAAGCCTAATTTTAAATCCTTAAATGCTTTTGCAGAATTAGCAAAGCACCCCGATCGTTTTCACTAATGAATTCTAATGGTTAATTATGCTTAGTCTCTTAATGGTTTTCTCCCCATCAGGGCCCTCCTCGCTGGTTCTGCTCAGAGGGCACGAAATGATCCCTACTGATTGTGTTTCTCCAAAAAGAAAGGTTTTGCATTTGCTGCAGCTTCCTTTTTCTTTTCCTTATTGATTGTCCTTGATTTCACCGATAACTTAGAGCTGATAGGAAACGGATAGAAGCCTGTTGACCGTGGACATGGTCAAGTTTCCACTTCCAAATGCCTATTGCTGACTTTTCAGACCTTGAGTTTGAGAGAAGGTTGGTGTTAAAGGACTCCCCTCTGCACCCTTCCCTCCCGTCATTGTCATCACTCCTGCTTCTAAAGAAAAAAAAATAAGTCCTTATTCATAGGATCTTAAGTACATGCAGCTTCCAAGAAGAACTTGGCAGGGATATGCAAAGTCTGCCCACAGCACCAAAACGGCTATGTGAGAAGCACCCCAGTCTCTGAAGCTGCCTGGATTGAGCATGTAGTGAGGGTCCTTGTGTTCCCCCAATGGCCATGTCCCTTATGTTTTTCTTCTTTAAGGAAGACAGGAGATTATTCTATGATTGACAAGTCTTTAAACCCTATAAACGTGGTCCCCTTTGGCCATGATCAATCAGAGTTGTGATAGAGTTTGAACAACAGTAATCTACTTTTCTGAGGGGTGGTAGTCCAAGGTCATGAAAGCTGTCAGTTTGGGTCTGCGGAGGGCCCCCTTCCAGTTGTTTTAGAGATCTGGGTTCTCATCGGATCTCCCAGGGCCAGGTTGTAAGGGCACTAATATCATTGACCCATAACCTCCTACAGGGCTCACCTCTTAAGCTATCACACTGGAGATTAGGGCTTCCGTGAATACATTTGGGAAGACACAAGCTTGCAGTGCAAAACACCTTCCCAAGGCAGTTCTGACATTAGTAAGCAAGACTCATGCTCCCCTTGCTCCTTGGAAGTGCTAGGATTGGCTTACATCTTTTTATTTTTTAAGAGTTTCATTTAATTGAAAAGAGGGAAGGGGAGAGAGATCTTGTGTCCTTTGGTTCACTACCCAAATGGCCACAGGCAGCTAGGGCTGGGCCAGGTTGAACCCAGGAGCTAGAAACTCAGTCTGGCACTTGGGTAGCCATCATCTATTGCCTTCCAGCATGTTCATTCGTAGAAAGCAGGAGCCCAAGCATTCCAGTGTCCAAAGAAACATCTCAACGGCTGGGCTGAACGCCTGCCCCTATGTACCACTTCTTGAGGGGAAGGTACTGGATGTGTGTGGCAGACACAATCTAGCCCCCCTCACCTGCTCTGCTCTGTGTGCATATATACACACACACACACATACATATATGTAAACATACATGCACAGATATACACAAATATATGTATAGTCTTTAATATATGTATATATAATATATATTTTATATTAGCATATTATATACCTAATATATAATATATTTAACATATATCAAACATGTTTGTGAAAATGCATATGAAAAATATACATGGTTTTTCAAAATTTTTGCACCAAAATAAGTGTGTCTTTGATTCTATTTTTTGGCATCCTGTGTGTGCATGCATGCGTGTGTGCATGCGTGTGTGTATGTGTGTATGCATGCGTGCGTGTGTATGCATGTTTGTGCATGTGTGTGCATGCACTTGTATGTGTGCATGTGTGTGTGTGTGTGCATATACCAATGGTCAGGAGCTTTTGTCTTCAAAGAGAAATGTGATCATCGACGTCCACAGTAAATCCTTCAGGAACTTCACGCTCCTCCATAGATACTTCCTGCCACCGCACGTAATTTCCTCGCATGCAAAGCTGCTGGCTCGGTTGCTCCAGTGGCTGCTATTCCAGATGATTCTTTGCCATTCATTCTTTTACTCATTCAGTGATCGATTTATTCAGTACACCCTCATAAAGTGGCATCTGTCATTTGTAACATAAATTTAAAAAGAAAGCAAATCCCCACCTTGTTCCCAAACACTTGGGGCTCTTCTGCTGCTTTCCCAGGCACCTTAACAGGGAGCTTGATTGGAAGTGGAGCAGCCGGGACTTGAACCAGCATCCATAGGGGATGCCTGCACTGCAAGCAGTAGCTTAACCTGCTGCACCACAACACTGGCACTACTTACTAAAAATTTAAGACGAATCATTTTGCCATTCGCCTTCAGGCTTCCACACCTTTGTCCATGCCGTCCACTGTTGTTGAGTGTCCTTTTGCTGGAGACATTTGGTCTTGCCCTGTTCACATTTCCTTGGGGAATTCTTTCAGGGGATCTATTACTTTCCCTATCTCTCCAGATTTTGTGTATATCAAAATCACAGTGGTGAGAGCCATGTCGATTACTGGAGAATTATAAAATATTTGATGACTTCTTTCCAAGGTTGACCAAAAAAATTTTAAGTGCCGATAATCTTTCTCAATTCAGAAATGAGAATGGGGAAGGGGGAAAGATCTCATGCTAACAAAGACAGAAAATGCAGTTTATCAGCAATCTGTTGAAAACCTGATTTGATTAATGGTATTTGATAGTCAGTGGCAGAAAGTAACTTGGCTTGTGAATTTTTCTAAAAGTTTCTGTCTCTTGGAGCAGGTTAAGCCACGGCTTGGGCTACCTGTATCCCATGTTGGAGTGCCTGGTTTTGAGTCCTGCCTCTGCTTCCAATCCACTTCCAACCTGGCTTCCTGCTAATGTGCACTCTGAAAGGCAGCAGATGATGGCCCAACATACACACTGGCAAAGCTAACATGTGCATCAAAGTTTCTGCCACCACCAAAGACCATGCTACTTTCCTGTATGACAATGACCACCATTTTTGAGAGCTTACTGTGTGCCTTAACGACCTTATATCCATTGCCTTCAAGAATCTTAGAACTGCATTGGGAGCGAGGGAAGCCAGAGACATGGGACTACGAGAGGAATAATTAATGCTACAGATTTGACCTGATGCAACTGTGCAAACTGGTTCAGCAACTTCTGCACAGCATTTTTTTTTTTTATTTTTTGACAGGCAGAGTGGACAGTGAGAGACAGAGAGAAAGGTCTTCCTTTGCTGTTGGTTCACCCTCCAATGGCCGCTGCGGCTGGCGCACTGCAGCCAGCGCACCGCGCTGATCCGATGGCAGGAGCCAGGTGCTTCTCCTGCTCTCCCATGCGGGTGCAGGGCCCAAGCACCTGGGCCACCCTCCACTGCACTCCCTGGCCACAGCAGAGAGCTGGCCTGGAAGAGGGGCAACTGGGACAGAATCCGGCGCCCCGACTGGGACTAGAAACCGGTGTGCCGGCGCCACAGGAGGAGGATTAGCCTATTGGGCAGCGGCGCTAGTTATGCACTGCATTTTGCACGTGCTGTCTTTGCATCTGTCCCTGAGATCAAAGCCTGCTGTGCAGAAGGGAAGATGGTGTAAGCTGAGGGAGAGCATAGACAAGCTGGGACCCATAGGATGAGCTGGAGCCTGTGGAGTCCAGAGGGGCCAGACTCAGTATCAGTTCTTGTTGCCTTTGACCTTGATGGTGTGAGTGTCTGGAAGAAGACAAGGGACTTCTCCAGGGACCCAGACTCCAAGGGGTTGAGGAAGGGTGCAGAGGCAGATGGAGCAGTCGTAGGCCTGACTGTGGCCTTTTGCCACTGAGGTAACCCAGCAGGTAAGTGGTGACATCCATGAGTGATGGCATGTTCCTCCCATGGGCCAACGTCTCTGGTTTCCCTCCATCCCTGCCGCCCTGCAAGTCTCCCACAGCGTCTTGTCTCCAGCAACACACAGGATAGGAGTTCTGGGTACATGGTTCTGTGTAGCCAGGCTAACACATCACAAAGCCCTCACACAATGGATGAGAATGTTGAGGCACAACAGGTTAAGTACCATGCCCCAGATGACATAATTTAGTTAGGTTTGAACCCTGGAGGAGAAACATTGGTTCAGAGAGAGGGCCTTCGTTGACTTGGGAATGGAAGTGAGGACAATCTAAAGGGTGAAGCACCTTAGCAGGTAGCTAAGGAGGGCAGCAAACTCATGGACTGGGTCTTGGTCGCCTCTGAAGCCACTGAGAGCAGAGCTGGCTCTGAGAACCAGAGGAGGTCCCCTGTCTGGATGCCACAGGCCAAAGTCATGGTGTTAAATAAGGATCTCTGTACTCAGATGTCTTCCAGGAGACAGAGGACACCGGCAGTTTGAAGTGCCTGGACCAACAAAATGCAATCCATGGAATCTAAAAGCTGCTAGATTGAACCAGACGTGGGCGAATATCAAGGTTAAGTTTCTGTGTCACATTCACAGAAATAGAGGCCAGGAGCAACATTACATTTTCTGATGGAGAAATAAACAACACAATTACATTTTAATGGTTTATTTATTTATTTGAAAGAGTTATACAGAGAGAGGAGAGGTAGAGAGAAAGAGAGAGAGAGAGGACTTCCATCTGTTGGTTCACTCCCCAGTTGACCACAACAGTCAGAGCTGCATTGATCTGAAGCCAAGAGCCTGGAGCTTCTTCCAGGTCTCCCACACAGGTGCAAGGGTCCAAGGGCTTGGGCCATCTTCTACTGCTTTCCCAGGCCATAGCAGAGAGCTGGATTAGAAGTGGAGTAGCCAGGACTCAAACCAGCGCCCATATGGGATGCCGGCACTGCAGGTGGTTGCTTCACCCACTACGCCAACAGCACCAGCCCCAACACCAATACATTTTGCCTCACTGGGTTAAGCAGTCCGCAGCCGATTAAAAAAAAGAAGAAGAAGAAAAAACAGTACCTACTCCAAGGATGGTCAACAGTGGATGAAGACTGGATTTCATTTTCTCATAACCCGGCCCCTTAGTAACCACAAGAGCCCAGGTAAGTCACTCACCATTCCGGGCTCCAGTTTATTTGTTGGGGAAATCAGGGTAAAAACAGCATCTTGGTTGTTACCATGAGGATTCTGTGAACTCAGTGTGTCAGCTGCGTGGCACTGTTCCCAAGGTGGCTGCAGCATCTGCCTGAGGGAGGCATGGAGGAAGGAGGAAGTGACCTGCACCCTGACACCCTGACACCCTGACACCTTGACACCTGCAGTCTGCACACAGGGGCTGGCAGACAGTCCTAACACTGCCACCTGCTGCTCTGCTATCACTCAGCTGGGAAGACCTTCCTGCCACACCTGCTGACCTCTTTCCAGGGCTTGAGAGCACCCATGAGATTCCCTGGAGCCACTTCTGTCTCCTCTCAACACCCATTGCCCTGATAAATGATTGCTTGCTTCCCTGCCCCACCCACTCACCTGGGAGATTTTTTTAAAGGCTTTTATTTAATGAATACAAATTTCATAAGCACAACTTTGGAATATAGTGGTTCTCCCCCCCATACCTGCCCTGCTACTCCTACTCCTGTCCTACCTCCTACTCGCTCTCCCATCCCATTCTTCATTAAGATTCATTTTAAAAAGATTTTAATTAACTTTATATACAGAAGACCAACTCTATACTAGGTAAAGATTTCAACAATTTGCCCCCCCCACACACATACAACATATAAAGCACTGTTTGAAGACAGGTATTACAGTTAATCCTCATAGTACAACTCATTAAGGACAGAGGTCCTACATGGGGAGCAGGTGCACAGTGACTCCTGGTGTTGATTTGACAATTGACACTCTTATTTATGATGTCAGTAATCACCTGAGGCTTTTGTCATGAGCTGTCAGGCTATGGAAGCCATCTGAGTCCCCAAACTCCATCCCATTATTTAGACAAGCCCTTAAGCAAAGTTGAAGTTTTCTCTTCCATTCAGAGAAAAGCACCTCCTTCTTTGATGGCCCCTTCTTTCCAATGGGGTCTCACAGAGATCCTTCATGTAGGACATTTTTTGCCACAGTGTCTTGGCTTTCCATGCCTGAAATGCTTTCATGGGCTTTTCAGCCAGCACCCGGGAGCTCCTTGAAGGCCCAGATGATGGTTCTGGCTAACGTGTCCTCAAGTAAGCCTGATGCAGGGGACTGGAGCCTCTGGCTGAGAGATTTGCCCTGTTACATGAACAGAGGACCTCTGAGGCCAGGACTTCTGACTTCAGGGTCTACTGACCTTCTTAGCACACAGTTACTGTATAACAAGTGCTTGATTAAAGTCCCAGGATCCCCCTAAAATCCAACCCAGTAGGAACTGAGTTGAAAAGTGTAACCTGGTCCTGTTACAAAGATAGCTCAAATATCTGTTGCTCCCAGGTAGGGCTCCTGCACCGTATTGACAAGGAAGACAATTAATGTGGCTCTCGGCAATCCTCTGCAGAAAACGCAGGTGGCAAATCTCAATTCTTCTTGGCACTTTTTTTTTTCTAAACCAGATCTCAAAATAGTGTCTGGGACTGTGGGCACTCCTCAATTTCTGGATTTCCTGGGTATTTTTGGACTGATACTGCATTAAGAGAAAATATAGTCATTGACTTAGGGGGGTATTTATTTCTTTCCACTGTCTTTTTTTGGGATTTTCTTGTTAGCTCCTTTCAAAGTGAATTTTACATTAGTTTTGGAATTTCTTGAAGTCATGATACATGATAGCAAAGGGTTCACAGACTTAACAGAACTCCATAAAATAATAAATTTTACATGGAGGCTTTAAACATGAAAGCATACACCCAAATAAACCCCAAATGCTATCTACCAGGGAAGAGATTTTAGCATTGGGATGGAGATGTTTTGGTCATACTCACAGCATTTTAGCTTCTAGAAATAACTTATTATGAGAGCGTCTCCTCTGTCCTATGAAATCCTCAATTCTCTCCCTGAGTGTCACTCTTCCCCCACTGCCTCCAGCTTCCCTCCTCCTCCTGCTCTGCCTCTTCTCACCTTGTCAACAGCTTTTCCCAATGAGTCCTTCACACCTTCATACCCAAGAAGGGGGAAGTGACAATGCTTTTTTGTTTCCTAAAGATTTATTTATTTATGTGAAAGGATGAGTTACAGAAAGAGGAGACACACATACACACACACACAAAGAAAGGGGGGGGAGAGAGAGAGAGAGAGAGAGAGAGAGAGAGAGAGAGAGAAAGGAAGGAAGGAAGGAAGGAAGGAAGGAAGGAAAGAAGGAAAGAAGGAAGGGAGAGAGGAGGGAGGGAGGGAGGGAGGGAGGGAGAGCTAGCTATCATCTTTTCACTGGTCCATTCCCCAAATGGCCACAACAGTGGAGCTGGGCTGATCTGAAGCCAGGATCCAGGAGCTTCTTCCGGGTCTCCTAGTGGATTCAGGGGCCCAAGCCCTTGAGCCATCTTCTGCTGCTTTCCCAGGCCATAGCAGAGAGCTGAAAGTGGAGCAACTGGGACTCTACAGTGCCCATATGGGATGCTGGTCTCACAGACAGTGGCTTAACCTGCTGCACCACAGTGCTGGCCCCAGGCATTGCTTTTCAACAGGAACAATGCACCCAGGAATGCTCGGATCACTAGGAAGCTGCTGTCGGTGCCGCTGACAGGTGCCCATGAAGTTGAAGGTCAAAGTGCAGAATGTTGCTGGAATGGAGCAGGGACAGGAAGGACCATGTTCCCTGGTGTCGTGGACAAGTGACAGAACAGGGAGTCATTACATGTGCACTTAGGGGACTGGAAGTAGAAGACATCTATCACGTACTCTAAGCTTGCATCCTGTTAAGACAAGCTAGCCACAAATTAGCAAGGTGGAAAAGGACAGCTTTGTGTCCTTCAATATCCCGACAAAGCAGTGTCCTCGCAGGCCTGCTGTGTGGTCCCCTGACCCTCTGGGGGACGTATCTTAACTTGTGCAAGTGATTGGGGCTCAGATATTTCCGATGCTGTGAAACTGCTGAAGAGTGATGGACTTCTCTCCCAACTCTGACACCAGACAAGCCAAAGGTTCCAATGCTGTAGCAATTCACCAGTTAGCATCTACTTTAACAATTGTATTTCTGTATTCCTGCATAGTCCGCTGAGAAAAAAATCCCATTTTTTTTTCATATTCTCTTTTGGAATTAGTGTTTTTCAGCTTTGTATTTTCTCATTAATGAGCCAAACAAAGCTTTGGCCCATGTTCACCAGATATTATGTGAAATCATTTTTTAAGATTTTTGAATATTATGTTTTCAATCTTGTTACCAAATCACACTGTCCATGCTAAGATCTATTCATATCTCTAAATCTCTCGATAGTCAGGACTGGCCCAATGATATGGCTGTGTGCATTTGTTCAGCGCATCAAATTCTTCCATGTAAACCTTTAAAATATGACACGATTTTTGCAGCTGTTTTGGCATCCCTTCATTTAAAATATTTGTTTATTTGGGAGGCAGAGAGATGGAGAGAAAGAAATAGCAGCTCTCTGAGCTCCTGTAACGACTGGGAGTCAGGATCTCAATCCAGGTCACCCGCATGGGTGGCAGAGACCCAGCCATGAGAGCCTGCACTGCTGCCTCTCAGGTATGCCTTAGCAGGAAGCTGGAGTCGGGAGCCAGAGCCAGGATCAAGCCCAGGCGCTCTGATGTGGGGTGTGAACCTCCTAACCACTGGCCCAAACAGCCACCCACATTTGTTTATTTTTTCAACACGAAAAGTCTGAAACATAAAAGAGCCTCTGGCCTCTGTTGTCTTGTGAGAAGTCGTGGTGGAGCATCACTTCCTGTAATGTGCCAATAGTTGTGAGAAAAGTCTCTCCAGGTTGCTAAATTGTCAATGGAATCTTAAAGCCTTATTGAGCATTGAGAAACATTAACATCCCCCCACCTCCTTTCTTTCCTAAAATAATAATTTAAGGGTATCCCAAGGGGCATTTTGCTTTTCCTTTGATATTGATTTTATGTTTCCCTTGGAGTCTGGGTGCCATTAACACCTGAGATCAAAGTCATAGGCCAACAGTGGGACCTTCCTTAAAGGAATTCGAGAGAAAATTACCTTTCAAAAATGACCAGGTATGGTCATGGGATTTTGGAAGCTTGAAAGTAGAGACCCGAAACCTGAAGCTGCACCTTTCAGGGCTGCTCTTGGTAAAAATCACCTGGATTTGTGCTGTGCACCTGTCAGGAATGACACAGCAGCCTGGGTCCTGGGCTCACGACAATCACAGCAGCCGCACACCCAGCACTGAGAATGATGCTTTCCTGCTTGTCTTCATCTCACCCACAGCACCTGCTTTCCATGATGAAACTGGGCGTCAGTTCTAGAGTACCCTTCTCTCTCTTACGGGGCAACCCAGCCCAGCCCCAGCAATCTCACCACCGAACTATTTTGTGAATCCATCCATTCTTCCCCAGTCCCTTGCTTTTAGCTAACAACAACAACAAAAAAATATGTTCTGAACAACGTTGTTGTTCCTAATCTACTCACATCAATTCTTACTTTCTTCCAGCCTTGATAAACCTATATTTATAAACTTCCCTCTGCTCCCTGGCCCCTCAGAGTGAAGTCGATCTACAATGAAGTCAGTCTACAACATGGCCCACCAGGCCTGGGTAACTTGTACCCTCCTGATTCTCCAAGCGCATTCCCCATAATAATTCTCCTTTGTGCACCCATTGCCAATTGCAATGCTCTTCCTTCCCTTGATTATCCCAGGAGCTGTGCTAAGCCAGGGCCTTTTCCTCTCCTGTTCTCTTTGGCAAGAACACTCTCTCCTTCTTGTCCTTGACCTCTGCTTCACCCATTGTGTATTACTACAACAAATGACCTGAGGCTACGTACTTTATAGAGAAAAGAGGCCTTACTTGGTTCACAGTTACACCACAGCAGAGCAGAGAAGTAGAAGGGAAGATGGCTGTGTGCAGAAAGAGAGCACATGGGGTGAGGGAGGTTCCCCATGATGAGAGAAGACACAAGAGAGTGAGTCAAGGCAGGCAAATGTGCTTTATAACAAGCTCCTCT